AACCTGAGAACACTCCGAACAGCAAAGGAGTTCTCTGTTTTTGCAGCGCTGGGGTGTTGGCACTCGCCCTTGACGAAGGCGGCGACACCTTTCAGCACGGTTGCACATGGATTTGAATGTAAAGACCTTCATGTCAAGTTAGGGAGCTGGCAGCTGTTGTCGCTGTCTCCTTACGCTCAGGGGTGGCCTGACACAGAAAGAGAGAGAGGGAGAGCGGGCTAGGGACACAAAGAGATCTTCCCAGCATTCTCCCTCCCATGGCCTCACGAAGGATCGCTGCAGCCTGCGACAAGGCCATGGCGTCGTGAATGCACTTTCAAAAGGCAATTGCTGATGCGGCCTCTGCACGGACATCTGCCCTTTCCTGAACCTAATCAAATGGCCACATGCAGTTCTGACATCAGTGAGCAGCACCAGCAGCAGCAATGCAGCTTTCCAAGGCAAGCACCTTGCTTTCTGGCCCTGGCAATATCATATGTATGAAGCACCCTGCAAGCATCCTCCATAAGCAATCTCCCTTACATGAAGCCGGCCTGGGCTGTTTTCTCGCAGGGGCTCAGGCTCAGCTGCGGGCCTGTCGGAGATTGGGTTTGCCTTTGGCTTGACTACCCCCCGCATGCGTACTGGCCTGTCGTCCATGGCGGAGGCGCCTGGCACTGGGGCCGGAGATCGTGCCTTTCCGAGGCACGCAGTGACGGACGGAAAGCACAGAGGCCTTCCGAAGAAAGTTCCAAAATCTGAGTTGTGCTCACGCTCCTCACGAGCACCTGATGCAGTGCTGCAAGTCCCCAGCTGTTTGTTCTTTCCACTTCAGGTCCCCGGCGTTCGGACTCCCGAATCTGCAGGTGCTCAGCCATCCTGCGCGTCGGCGCGTCGGTGCTCCATTCTATTTGTCGCGTAGATTCGAAGACTGGCTATATGACAGAGTGCCTGCGGCGCTTTGATGCCAGAAGATAATACCTCACACCCAGAGGATGCCATTGCCATTGTCACCAAAGTGAACTCCAAGCATCAGGCGTTGTAGTAACGCTGTTGTGCTTGTTGTTAAGCAGGCAATTCGTGGCATACTCTTGAGGAAAGCCTCATCGACTGCTCAAGACTGGTCCCACTGACAT